CGGGGGAGCGCCCCGCCAGCAGCGAGGGGACCGGCAGGGTAAAATCGATTTTGCAGCTTTTCGTGATGATGGACGAGCACTGAACAAGAGCTTTTCCGGCTGAAACCATTGGCTGTGGGCTTCCTTCAAAAATGAGGGATGGCGGGGGGAAATGAGACACGGCAGTTACAGTGGATTCTGCGTGGGTTTAAAGCACCAGTCTGAGGATTTCGATGCTTAGATGAGATATTAGGAAGAAACCTTTAACTCACTCTCTCACTGGGTACGGTGAGACACTGAAACAGGTTGCCCAGGGAAGTTGTAGATTCCCCATCCCTGGCAGTGTTAAAGGACAGGCTAGATGAAGCTCTGAGCAATCTGATCTAGTGAAAGGTGCTCCTGCCCATGGCAGAAGGGGTGGAAGGCCAGGTGATCTTTAGGTCTCCTTCCAACCCAAACCATTCTAGGATGTGCACACACCTTAAAACAGGCTGTGCCCTTTCTTTATCTGAGCCCTGCTGGGAGCACATTATTGTTGAGCATCAGTTTTAACTTTGGCTGAAGAAGACTGCTGAAACTTTTGACACGTCTGTAAAAATTTCCATTTGGTTAGACAGCGTGAGAGTTTTGTGGTTTTACATTAACTGGTAGCTTGTCAACAACTACCTGATTGCTGTCGGGGTCTGCCATGGGAAAGCTGCTTTGTGCTCGCTCCGTCCTTCAATTCCTGCCAAGGCACCTCCAGCTGGGTGCTCTTGAGGGGGTAAGCTGGACCTTTGGACTGTCAGAACTTTGTTTTCAGCTTTTTGAAGTGTATGCACTTGTGTACCTGTGTACCTTGTGTGCCCGTGTCAAGTGTACCGGTGATTACTTAGGGGAACAGAACCCAGAACAATTAAAAATCTTGTGGATGCCTAATACTGTGAACAAGAGATGGATGAATATCCTTGGTTTATTTGCAGCCATTTTTCTTCTTGCCACATAAAAAATCACTTTCCTGTTTCTTCTTCCTAGCTTCTAACTCCTCTTTATCAGGACTCATGGCACTGTAGGAAGAAATGATGTATTTTTCCTGTGATGTGTGTGGTATGTGGTGTTGCCCAGTAGTAGCTGACTATACTTCATACCACCATAAGGAAGTGTTGATGATTATAAATGCGACTTTTATACTTCCCCTCCTTGATCATAGATGGTTGCATACTTTTAGTATACCTAGTACCCACAAATTTGGGTCTACTTAATAAAGGCTGATATTTTCAATATCAAGAAAACTGATTGTCCTTATAAATTTTAATACATTTCCATTATTCAGTGGCTTTTAACTGGTAGGTCTCTTGTTCATTTTGTTAGGTTGGGC